GAAAACCGTGTCAAAAAACAACGTAAAAAAATACTTCAGTGTATTGTTCTATCGGCAGGAGGATCATCTTCTCTATATAGCTGAACCCGCAGAAAAATCATTAGGAGGAAATCACGCCTGGTTTGGAAGGTTCAGACGATCGGGACAACAAAAATGCCCGTCTCGCAGACAACATTGGATGCCTGATCACCAGGAATATAATGGGCTGCCACTAACTGTCACACCGTCGGGTAGTGCTTATTCCTGCCACCAGGCGCGCATGAGTCAAAGTTGGATTTCTTAATAAAGTGTGTAATAATTTTCTGGAGAGTGTAAGGATTCATTCACCTAAGGTGAAATTTCTCTGCGAACGGTTTTGTTCTGTTAGAAAAGTATTGGAATCATTCTCATTTTTCGGTGGACACCCGTTATCACAGCATCCAGTATAATTATTTTTTTTAACAGGCAAGCAATATTCAGCCTAATCCGCACACAGCTTATACGGCCCCGACGAGGCCATTGCAACCATTTAGTCCGCCAAGGCACAAGTCCAGCCGAGATCGATAAAGTGATGCACAAGTCCAACAGTTATCATACAAACAATTTGTGAGATAGTCCTACCATCCGGGTTACCATTCGTTTATGGTATTTGTTAAAGAGCCTACATTTAAAAAGAGGCTGATTAGGCTGAATATTGCTTGCCTGTTGAAAAAATTAATTATACTGGATGCTGTGATAACGGGTGTCCACTGAAAAATGAGAATGATTCCAATACTTTTCTAACAGAACAAAAACGTTCGCAGAGAAATTTCACCTAATAAACAAATACTTGTTTATTAGGGATGTATTCACGGTGTTAGTTTTTGATTCAGTGTATACTAATAAAATTCGACACATTTTTATTGGCGAATTTCCATGTGAAATTCCTCATGATTTTCATGTGTCTACACATAAACAGAATCCACTCAGAAGTACACATGAAATTTATGAGTCAAATGAATAGCATGTGTGGTTACACATGCATTTTATGTGTACACATAAGAACTATGTGTCCAACACATATATATATATATATATAATTTGTTTATCACAAACTGCAAAAATTCATATGTTGGACATATAAAAATTAGCACTGAATTTTTATTAGTGTAGATGAATTGCGTTTGTTTTGAAAATCTTCGCTGTCACGTACGAGTGAAATGAACAAATGAGTTCATTACCTGAACAGGGAAAAATAACTTACGAATAGCAAATTTTATCATAAGAGGTAAAATACCAAAGAATAATACCAAAAAATTGAATACAAAATACTTGCAAAATCACAAAAAAAAAAAATATTTAGATACCAAAACAACATGCACGGAAAAAAAATTAGAATTAGAATGGTTGAATATAATTTTACACGATCTAAAATTAAAAGTTGTTTGATACATCACGCTATGTGCATCATAGTAACAGAAATTTACACAACTTTTTCAAACTGTGTGTGTGGTATCGTTTTGGTATTGCATTAGCTTAATTTGGTATTATAATGAAATTGTGGGTACATTTTTTGGTATTAGTCTTTGGTATTTTACCTCTTATGTCAGGCTAATCCATAGCCATTTATGGTATCGAGACATTAGAAAATTCAAGTAAGATATTTTTCAGAACAATTACTTTTGATTGTTTATTTTTTTTCAGTGTTGGAATTTAAATTTTTTACAATATTTGCTAACAAACTCGGATTATGCCTGCTTGTCTTCAGTTTATAGAGCGTCCCACACTTACTAGATCTTGATCCACTTGGCCTAACCCCTAGCTCGCTGCACTCCTCTGCATCTTGTACCGGCCGAATTAGATGCAAACACTATTTTCGCGGGATTATTGTCCGGAATTCTTACAACGTTCTCGCCCATTGTACCCTTCCAGCTTTAGCAAACTTTTAATATACTGGGTTCACCATAGACTTAGTCAACGATTTATTCACCGTATATCCAAACTTTATGCTTCACTTTTCAGCCTGGTGTACTGCTCAGCAACCGCCTGGAACGTCAGAGAAGCAATTGAACTGGCTGGATTTACTGAAGATCGTACCCGGCATGCTAAAGCTTGCACGTTTCATAACACCTTCTACCGGAAGCAGGAAAGAGCATCACCTTAGCGAAGTTCTTTGTGTGTTTCAAACAAGTTCGATAACGCACCCGATATCTCCAAACAGCACAGTACACCATCCATCGTAGCCTCAATCAATCAAGTTTCCCGGGAAAATCGTTCTCTTCCATAATCTTCAACAGCTCTTCACGGTCAACAGTATTGTCACAAGTGGCCTTGAAAACGATAAATAAGTGGTGTGTAGACACTTTTAGAGGATCTTCCGCAACGTAAAGATTTGGTCTGTTGTCCATCGAACCGTTTTGACGACTTCCCACGGATCTGCTTGCTAGCGGCGATACACGGCGAAAGTTGATCTCGGAATGCACTTTGTAGGCTACGCTCGATAGTTCTCACATTCTAACTTGTCACCCCGGAGGCGAACCAGCCTCAGGCTGAAAGCCTCCCTAATAAAGAAAACTTAACTTTACTTGTCACCCCTTTTGTATATTGGACATTTAAGTCAATACAAAGTTGATAAAAGATGGCAGATCACATTAGATCTTCCCCGTGTAATGGGAGTTTTTATCAATGAAAGTTTTATAAATTGCAGGATACGGTTGTGAATACACTCAAGCAGAATGGTAACTGAAAATTGTTTACGTATCTCATACCGTACAAAATTGAAATGCTTTTAAAGTGCAACTAACTTTTCTTAAAATTTTGAAATAGTACAGTTTAGACTGATAAGTGTCTTTCAGTTTCAACTAGCGAACCCTGCAAAATGACATCAGAAGCGGTTTTGTATGTTGAGATTTAAATCTAGCGTAAAGAATCATAAGGGACTGACTTTGATGAACGACTCTCGCCATCGATGTTGTTGTTAGGTGAACAAATTTTCTTATTTTTTTTATAAATCAGTTCTGTGAAAGGTTGTATTGACTAGCAAAAGCAACACCAAACGCAGGGAGTTGTTCCATCTAATTTTATAACAAAAGAGAAAATCGATGAAGAATCAGTTTGGTCTTTATGATTTTAGAACGCAAGAAATTATTTAAGATGATGTTCATTTCTGTTCCTCCGTATAATTGATCATCAGGCATTACGCTCAGAGTACAACTCTGGATCAACAATAGAAAAGGGTCCATCAGCATTTGTAAACAAACCGTTCCAAAGCCCATTCCTCACAAATCGAAGGCCGCTCACACAAACCAACACCATCATCGGGTAGGTAGAAGTTTCCCCTATCCGATGATGGTGTTGGTTTGTGTGGGTGGCCTTCGCTTTGTGAGTAAAGGGCTTTGGAACGGTTTGTTTACAAATGCTGATGGGCCCTTTTCTATTGTTGATCCAGAACTATGCATCTCCAAAGATTAAGGGGCTTAAACATCTACAATATTTCATTGAATTCTTAATGTGCATTTGTGAACATGTTTTACTTAAATCACGAGTTTAACTATTCAATTTTGGAGATTAAACTTTAATTTAGAAAAAAAAAATAAAGATAGTAATGTTACATTTGCGAATAATAGGAATTAAGGAATACAGATTACACTGGAGTCGCTTTTTACGCGGTTTTTTTTTACACGGTTTTTTTTTACGCGGTTTTTTTTTACGCGGATTTCGGAATTTACGCGGTTTTTTTTACGCGGATTCCGGAATTTACGCGGTTTTTTTTACGCGGATTTTGGTTTTTTTTTACGCGGATTTCAGAATTTACGCGGTATATCGCTTTTTACGCGTTTTTTCTTACACGGTCTTTTTTTACTCGGTTTTTTTTTACGCGGATTTCGGAATTTACGCGGTTTTTTTTTACGCGGTTTTTTTTTACGCGGGACGTATCACCCGCGTAAAAAGCGACTCCAGTGTATTTGTTCACATTTTGCTGCCAACTAAAGACGAAACTACTAAATATACAACTAATTCATGTGTAAAGAATCATAATGTCCTACCTGTTTTCTTCAATCAAATAGGGTAAATGACGACTTCGGCAATATCTTACCTTTTATCGTCAGTGGGGTTAATGAAGTCCTCGAGCACTTATTTTTTGGACAGAATGTTTCAGCGGCCCAGAACTGAGCACTCTAGAACTGACCCCCTGACTACAATAGGTAAAGGTATAGACGAAGTCATCATTTACCCTAGACGATTATCTTCTTTCGATTACTACTGTGACCTGAACGGCATTTTCGCAATGGTTTTTCTTTCATTGACGAAAGCAGTATAGGTCATATGATTCTATACACTAGAATTTTTCTAAAAGTTCTGATTGTATCGCCTAACCAGTGTGTAAAATTTCCAGCTCTGAAGTCTTACGCTACTATGAGGAACACTTACATCAGGCTGGAAGGACGTATTCCTAGTTCCGTGCAGAATGTTTATAATTTTCTAAGCAAAAATTTTGTCCAATGTTCGGCCTGTCTGGGTGTATATATGGCATTATACTTCTTAGGTTTCTCTTTCTGCATTGTTTGTTTTTTTAGTACAGGTGACAGGAAGGGAACATGAAAAGGAAAATTAAGAAACAGAAAAATAATACTTGTACTATTTCGGTCGTCTCAAAACGGGTGTATGAAGCAATGATTTTTTAATGAGTTGCAGTGAACGATGAAATCAAAGTGTTTTATTGATATGAGTCAATCTACAAAAGTGCTTACACATGCTTTCTAAAATCATTAAAATTGAATGAATTAACTTTAAACTATGCACTATGCATTTCTTGTATTAGTAAGTATAACCTGGTCAAAAATTATCTACAACGATTCATGAATAAAATATAATGATGAATTATCTGAGAATTTTTGTTTGTTACAGAGACTATATTAAATTATTAACCCTGTCAGTTTCTATACGGTGGTGTATTTGGCTATTGATATGGCAATGATGATAGAGCTACTGGGAACGATTGATGATAAAAATGAGCTATATACATTTATATGCAAACTAATGTCCTTTGATGAATGACATTCATTCTGCCATCCTCTTGGCGTTATAGTTTCAGATGCTTGAAGTTAGAGATAACGTTCATACAGTTACATACTTTAAAGGCTTGCCCCGAGAACCAGTCGTATCATCTCCATATCTTACAAGTGTTGTCCTTCGATGCGGTAATGATGGCATCTCCACAGTAATTGAACGAACAAGAAAATACCTCTCCGTCGTGTCCTGCCAATGTTTGAGTGCATATACCCGTTACAGAGTTCCAGATCCGGGCTGTCTTATCAGCAGATGCTGTGAGAAGCAATCCTCCCGGAGGGCTGAACGCTACCTTAGATACTTCATCGGTATGACCTGCCATTATGGTAACCAACTCAAAATTACCGGTGACATCCCATATTTTTGCAGTGCAATCAGCGCTTCCCGTTGCTAGTCGAGATCCGGTACAGTTGAACGCTACATCCAGAACTTCATCCTTATGGCTTGCCACTGCTTGGCAACATTCTAGATTACGAACGTCCCAAAGTCTGGCTGTTTTATCCAGCGAACTGGTGGCTATATTAGTGCATTGGAAATTCCAAATGGCATTACTCAACTCTGCTTCATGACCTTTGACGACTATGACATGTCTGGAATCAATTATAATATTTTAATACATGTAGGAAATATTAGTATTTGCCTTAGGACAACCCACTCTTTCATTCTCAAATCCCAGATAATGGCAGTTTCATCGAAAGACGCCGTTAGTAGTAGATTTCCATCCTTATTGAATCGCGCCGAAATAACTTCCGCCCGGTGGTCACTCAGCAGCTGTATTTCTTGACCTGTTTCCGAATGGAATACACGAGCCGTTTTATCCATGCTACATGTTACGACCTGTTCTCCTTGATTAGGGTTGAACTCGGCAGCCACGATTTCAGCCGTGTGTCCCCATAAGGTGTTCAAACAGTTACCCGAGGTGGGATTCCAAATTTTGGCCGTTTTATCGAATGATCCAGTGAGAATGCGATCGCTAGGGCAAAATAATAACGTTAGTTTTCTAATAAACTCCGGTTACCTTTTCCAAAAACTACCATTTGGGATAATTATATGCTACAGAAAATACTACATTCTCATGCCCTTTGAGAACGTTTTCTTCATCTCCGCTGTCCACATTCCATATCCGGCAGGTTCGGTCATATGATCCAGTAATGCATCTAGAAAAAAAGTAGGTTAAAAATTTACTTTGGCTTGATCGCCAATTTTTGGCCTATCGAGCGGAAAACATCAAATGTATCTATAATTTTGGCGTTAACGAGTCAATTATACGATATGTTCAAAAGGTACAACACAAAATCTTTATCGAACGCCACACGTATCAATATATTGATGGGAAGGCGAATTATTGACAATAATATTGATGGTGTGAGTACAGAAATATTGTCAATATCGATGTAATGGTGTCAATATAGAATGTATTGATAGTATTAATATTGTCAATAAAAGCAATCGCGTAGGGTTCACTTTTAAGAGCACAAAGTATGAAATCAAAAACAAAAGAAACACTCCCAGTGAATTCATTTTTCCATTCCATTTTTACCTTCATCCGTATGACGAAGTTAATCCAATGACATCCTGAGCAAAGTAAAATAACAACCTGATATCATCCTGAGAACAAGTTTTGTTATTCCAGATATCAATTTGTTTTCAGTTGTTATCATATAACTAATTTAGTTATCAACCTTGACTAATTTTGTTATCAGTTGTTATCATGAAAGAAAATGAAATGATGCAAGATTAGTTGAAAACTTCCAATATTATCCACATGGTAAGAAATAAAAACATTGCCACTCATATTTCATTTAATTTGAAATTTGTTGAAAAAATTCGCATGGATTACAGGATTTGTTATCAAGATGTTTTCAATGTTAACAAAACAGTTATTTTTGTCATATCCAAGGAGTATTCTTTTGTTATAATATTTGTTATGTTGGCTGTTTATTCAACCACAATGATAACATGTTCGGTTATCAAATCTTGATAACCAGGTATCAGTACTTGTTATCAATCTAGTATAATCCTTTACTCGAGATTACTATGTGTTTGCATGAAATGTAAACCCGTAGGTCTAGTTTGGAATCAAGAACCTGTAAATTTTACTATCTGAGAGTCTTCATGAAGAGTGAATATTCACCGATCATTAAATTGCTGATTGTGACTCTCTAAAAGCAAAATTAATAGATTTTATGTGCCAAACACGTATATTACAACCTCTTCTTGTAAATTAAAAGTACAAAAGATCATTATAAGATCAAATCTTCTCAGACAAAATGTACACACTATTTCAAAACTACCCAAATTTGGGTAGAATCCACCCAGATCGGTCAAAACTGAACCTACCCAAAAATGGGTAAACTGTGTTGGGAGTGACAAGTTGACTAATGAACAACATCGACATGAAGTCGATAAATGTTGTTCATTTGTCATCTTGTCACTCCCAACACAGTTTACCCATTTTTGGGTAGGTTCAGTTTTGACCGATCTGGGTGGATTCTACTCAAATTTGGGTAGTTTCGAAATAGCGTGTACAATGACAAAACGTAGAGTGACAATAGGTCGAAGGTACAAAAGGTCGAAGGTATAAAATGTCGAAGGGTCCACTGAAGTGACTAATTGTCTAATGGTGACAAATGGTCAAATGATTCTCGAAATGATCTAATGAGGGGCAAAAAATCGAATGGTCATAAAATTGAATGGACAAAAGCTCAAATAATTACACTGAAGCAAAACCGTGGGGGGTGTCACATCTAAATCTCAATTCTAGATGCTCGAAAAATTTCACACTAGCAAATAAATCTACGAAAAATATTTTTTCATTTCTCGCATATTTTTGTAGGAAATCTTCAGAATCGTCATCAATTTTCTTGCTATCTACTCAGCGTGCGTGCAGCTAACCAACAAAACAAAATCTTTCCTACATCATAGATATAGTCAACCCCTCTAGCAAAACTTTACGTAATCGCCATTGGCGGAAATCCTTTACATTTCATTGGATTTCCAATGAAGATATCGCTTTAAAAATCAGATGAAAGTTATGTGTCAATGATTTTCATATGACCATCATTTAATACACACATTTCAGAGAACAGTAGCCACATGAAAAAAGATACGTTTTACATAAATTTATAATAGCGCAATTTTATATGGAAATCAATGGTTTTTACGTGTCATTTTCGTTCGGTGTAGGCGATAGATGAAAAAATAATTGTATGACAAAAGGTGAAAGTCGAATGACAAAAGGTCGAATGATAAAGGTCGAATGCCCCCCCTTCTCATCATTCGACCTTTTGTTGAGGTTTGATAATGAGAAGGAGGATAAAAGGCCAAATGGACAAAAGATCAAATGGACAAATGGTCGAATGGTCCAAAGAGTGACAAAAAGTCGAATGGCACAATGAGGGAAACAGATTGATTGATTGATTTATCTTTATTTAGGAGGCTTTCAGCCTGAGGCTGGTTCGCCTCCACTGGGAAACAGATATCTAAAGAAAATGGAAGAACATTATATTTCTTACAAACAAGCACAGCTCTTTCGACCAATAATGTTTTTATGGTTTATGACACTGGGTATTAAGATCCCATTATTATTATATTTCCTTCATAATATCTCACCTCGTTCTTTCTTATAATCTCTGGTTAAATCCTTCGGAACAGAAACACTTTATTGAATTTTATTCAATCGGTTTACAAGTTTTTTGCATATTGTATAGATTTTTATTGCTAGCTCCATGCGTAGTTTCATTGACAATGAATTGCATTATCAGTATTTTTCCTTCATTTCATCACTGCTCGTTCTGCATGTAATTAAAAAATATCGATTGTGATTATTAGTTATATAATATTCAACGTAACGGTCTCCCAAGTCTGTAAAGTATTCTTTCCACTATTTGCCATCTAGCCAAGTGGGCTTCACAATAAAATATGTATCACAATTCGACCTTTTTCCCTCCTTGAATCATCCGGCGATTTTTTCATTCAACCCATTGTCACCCTTCTCATCATTCGGCCTTTTCTCCATTCGACCTTTTGTCCCCATTCTCCATTCGAGCTTTTGCCACTCTTTGAATCATGCGACCTTTTGTCCTTAGACCTTCTGTCATTCGATCTTTTATCATTCGACGTTTTGTCTATTCGACCTTTCAATGTTGTCCTTCTTTGAATCGTTCTACCTTTTGTCCCCTTTCTCATTATTTGACCTTAGGTCCATTCGACCTTCTTTCTCCCTTCTCATCATTCGACCTTTTGTCCATTCAACCTTTTGTCCCCCTTCTCATCATTCGACCTTTTGTCCATTCGATCTTTTATCCGTTCGATCTTTTATCCGTTCGACCTTTTGTCATTCAACGTTTTGCCATTCGACTTGTACCTTTTGTCATATAAACTGAGGCAAAAGAACGTAAGAATTCCATAAGAACATCTTAAGAATTTTAGAAACAAGATTTGCCTTTTAAAAATTATGCTGATAAAAAATAATAAAACTGACCAGACAAGAACCGAACCATGGACGTTGAGATTACGGATCCTGTTATTGGACCACTCGTCTGTTAACACTTGGGAAATATGAATAGCTAATGACGTAGAAGAGCTACCTTATGTTAGACGAAAATCTTTCATGAAATTCATATGTGTCGTTCATAAGTCGAGCCTTATGAAATCGTACTCAGTACTGCTCAGAGAAGTCGAGAAATTTTTCAAACCGATTTTTTTTAGACTGAACTGGGTTTTTACCGCCTCCAGAATGGTCTTGCTTTATACTTGTATCTTCTATATCTTCTATAGCTCAGTCGGTAAACCCATATGATTACTATTCAATTTGAATAGGAAATCAAGCAGAGATGGGACAGTTATGCTTTTATGGGCAGATAGGTTTGTGTAAAACATAGGTTTATAGGTTTATAGTCACTCAAATGAGCAACTATGCCAAAGGTGGGAACTTTCTATGTGGTCAGGACCAATGACGCAAAACAATATTTTGCTAACTAGCGGCATCTTATTTGAACGACACTTTGTGCATATAACGGGGCTCATTTTTAAATGAACTTCAAGTATTTAACCCTACAACCAACCGGGATGTAAGATTTGCTTACAATAATGAAGGATTCATCATCGCAGAATGTTAGTGGAGACCGCATGAACGGAGGATGAGATATACCGAGCTGCGGTTCAATACTAGAAAATGGAGACTTACAAATATGAGTGCAATGAGTTACGTCGAAAAAAATAGAAAAAAAGTTTGCCGGCTGGACTCGAACCACGAAGGTTGCAATTATCAGAATTGTGCTTTCCCCACTGTTCTCTCCTGCTTCAGAACATTGATAGGCTAATAGCAAATAAGAAGCGCTCATAGAACGATAACTCGATTTCGTATGCTTTTTTCTGCTAAACGGTAATTGGAGTGAATCGTGGGAAGTGTGTGCGTCGTCCTACAATGTTATAAATAAAAAGCATGACAAATGCTTGCTTGTATACTCGAAAGCGTAGACAGACAACGAAATAAAAAAGTTAAAAATCATTGCATCGTCTGCAACATATATCATTCGCTGTGGTGTTCGGTATGGAGGATAATGGGAAATGCAACTAACATTCAATGTAATATTTTTTTATTTGTGTGTATATGCAATCAATAGTAAAAAATATAGAATTTTTTGATGCAGGTTATCAGCTTATACTCTATTCCAAATTTAAGGGCATTACTTTCTTTAAACAAACAAATTTATAAAAATCGAATAAGAGGTGTTTTGAGAAAACCAACGTTTTATAGTTGAAGATGCTAATTTCGAATAACAGACTGAAGTGATAATTTTTATACGATAGATGAGGAGGAGATGAAAGTATAGAATTCATAGTTCCGTTTAGAGTACGGCAGTGTGAAAATTGCATATAGAGAGTAGACAGCGAGCTAGGACAACTTTTAAGGAAGGTACAAATCGGTTTTTTTCATCTCTCTTTACCAAACTCCCCCTTTGGAGAGGGATGGTGAGGGGTTTCCCCCCCGCCACCACTGGCAACGTTTTATGTTTTTACTATGAATTTACTGAGTTTTTTTTCCATCAGGGTACTTTCGTCTTAAAGATAATTTAATTACCTACAACTTTTTCTTAAGTGTCATTCATATCAGATCATCCATTTTCATGTTATGATTTTTTGAAAAATTATAATCCTATTCAGAATACGCCATTTTCAAAAGCTACTCTTGAAAAAAATATTTAGATGAAAAATTCAACCATTGGTAGCAGTGAACATGTGAGCAATGATTCATTCAAATCGGATGGGTTGGAGACAAAACTGAAATTTTTTTTAGCGTTTTGAAAATTTCCCTAACACAGATTTCAAAGTTGAATTCCATCCGGTCTCACCAAACGTGGTGAGTGGTGGTGTTCTCCAGTACACAACGATAGGCTGCCTGTAAGCAGCAGCCCACACGCACCGCTATTGATCGGAATCAGAAGCTCTTCGTGAGTTGCTGTGGGCCATCTATATCAAGCGTGTCATACTAATGAGTATAAACAGAGAGAACCCTGTTCAAATTCTTATTCCTATTCAAAACACAAGCTCCTGCTGCAGCTAACAAATAAGATTTATTATGTAAGACCACGTAGTCCTACGTCACCATTGCGTACAACCCCATAGGGCTGTCCCTTGTAGTTTTAATAGAGAATTCTTACGTTAAATCCAATTCAATTTTCAGTTAACTCATTTTAAAATAGATAGTTTAGTGCTATTAATCTACCTATAAAAAAAAATTAAAATAGTGTTTTTACTGAAGGTGCACACAAAGTGTGGCTATACGGTGCGGAAATGTTGCGTTTTGATAGGGATGTTAATAACATTACACTTATCTATTTTGCGATGGGTAATCTGAAGATTCAACATTAACATATTATAATTAAAAGTAACGAAAAAGCCCTAAAAGAGCGATCCAGGTATTTCCATACATGTTTTGGGCTTAAATGAGCTTGATCATTAGTTTTTGAACGTGATTTAAGCGAAAAATACGAAGACAATAACGTAGAACGTTTCGAAACTAGCCTCATGTGAAAGGGGTGCACCTAATTTCCGTTTTGTGGGTGATGTATGTATAAAAGTGCCTAGCGTAGTATACTACAATCGCGTGTTTGGATCTAGACCAACAACTTTACGCGTCACGCTATCTAAACACCAAACTTCAATTGACGACGATTTTGACACGATAACAATTTCAAGCTCACTAGCCAACAATCGGATGCCCTTACTTCAAGCTTACGATTTGTACTCATTGCTAATTCCATATTTCAATGCCAATGCTTATGAAATGTTAACACTTGGCGAATTGATGTAGCCGAACAATAAAATGAAATCATAAATTGCGGTAATATCGGCCGTTGGTATTTGCTGCGGAACTGTGTAATCGATATCGATACTCACTTTTTCCCGGATTTATCGAAGGCCACGTTTGTCAGTGGAAGAATGTGCGTTTGAAGCGTTTTGAAGAGATAGAATTTGGTTTTGACAGGTTCCTTTAGTTTTTTCTGTAGCTTTTCCAGGATTTCCGTTACTTGTGGGAATATTTCTTGCGTTATCATTGGCTCAGTCAAGGCGATCTTCTTCGTTAGAGCCGATAGATCACAGCTATTTTATGGATTTAATTTGGTTTTAAATAAATCAATTTTTAAACGTTGGAATATACCACACAACTTACCTGGGTGTCAGATCGAATAGATCGATCATTTTCGTCTCATCGACATTTCGTTTTCGATAATTAAGAGCAATACCTGCCATTGGAGGAAAACTGTTATCAGCTCGACTATTTAGCTTTTATAATTCTCTCACCTGGTGGATAATACCGTAAATATATTTTTACCAGTTTCATTGCGTTGGTATTAATTCGACTAACTTTAAATACCTATATCAGTGGAATTTAAGAAATTTGGCAAGATTTTTGCACAGCGACTGCACTCGTTGAAGGCTTTTTGGCAAATGTGAAGAAATTTTCCTTTGACTGTTAGATCGATAGCAATGGTAATGAATTTCGATGGACTGAACCTGAAACATGTGAGTCTGTTATCATGGATATGGTTGCCGTGGAAGTCTGCATTGTTAGTTGTTTGTTTATGTTGAATGAAAGGGCGCACCACCTGTTGGAATTAGCTGTAATTCAAAAACAATACAAACAAATATCAACAGGTTTCGTTTTCCGTTTGTTTATTGAATACATAAACATACTGGATTCTGACACATTCCACGTTATAATAAAGGAAGATCTTATCATTTTCCTTAGACGGCTTCAATTATCTCGTTTTTCATGGTTTCTTGTAAAGTACCGAAATCCAGGGCAAATTGATCACTTAATAATATTAATATTGAACTAAATTTCTACATTAAATGAAATTAACAAAGTAATAGTAATAAAATCAGTCACTATGAGGCCGCTATCGTTCTGCATGATATCACGTATCATATTGAGAGTTTTGTTTAGTTTTAGGACATTTGACATGTGGAAAATATCGGTATGGAGTGAAATTGGTTTGAGGGGTTGACCAATGTCTTTCGAGTAAATTTCTAGTAACTGCTTTTATCAAATTAGGGTTCTCTGATTCTGAATCAGATGCTTAAATCTTTAAGCAAAGTTGGTATATTTCCAGGAGAAATTACAGAAAAAGATTTCTTAAAATACATAGATGCGCCTAAATGTAGACAATTTCTTTCAAAATCAAAATCAGAATCAATTTATCAGAAAACCATTGATTTCAGAATATTGAAAACATTGCATAATAATTTTTTAAATAATTCTGATTCATTGACACTTAGGTTTATGGAAAATACCACTTTCAACAAGGCTACAAAAATCAGTCCAGCCCGTTTGTTTGAATCTTGATATTGAATACTATTGAACGTCTGTTAAATAAAATTGAAATTTATGTATTATAATCTACTAATACTTGAGAACATCAATAAATCAATCATTAGAGTCTTAAATGCATGCTTTTTAATGCCTATACCTTTTTTAAATTTTCAGTCAGTTTAACTGCAAAGGTTACAAGAGGCAAGAGTAACGCATAAGCCATTATTTTTTAATTAAAATTGATCGTTACGATTACGATACAAAAATACTCGTCTTTTAGAAAAAGTAAACCATCATGCTATCAAAAACAAGTGATGCAGACCCTCACCATTTTTATCGTAAAATTTCTTCTCCATTATCGGATACATTCATGCAGATACAATTCTCCTCACGCAGAAGTCTCTGACCCTGATTGTTTAGCAAACAATAGTATGCATCAGCAGTGCTTTTCTGGCAGCCACGGTTTCGAATTCTGTGAAACATTCCATGCAACCAACGTAGGCACAACTTTTGCATACTTAATTGTATTTAATTTTAATTAACGCTCCAAATAAATTTAGACGCTTTTCGACGCCAGCAAATCTCTCACGGTATCAGATTGCACGTATTTTGCTGATGACGATTCCAGGCTGCTCCGGGCAGAAAGTGCATCATCAGTGCAACTACCTCAGCCGTCGTCCGTCGTCGTTGTTGTCGTAGTCATAGCCTCGCTCAGGATGTGCCATTCTAACATTCTTTTATTTATTAGCCACCATCCGGGGGCCCTGTTTTCCGGCGAGGCTGCAATTATAACAAGCTCCGTGTGCACTTTCATTAGTGAATAAATCAAAAGTTTTTTGCCGGCCCGAAAGTTGTGCACCAAGCTGCTATTCCTAATCTCTGTTTAATGTGTTTCCCACGGTACCAGTATTTCAGATTTTATGATTATCGATTTTTGTTTAGAATTGATGAAAAAATAGTTCTCCTTAAATTGCATTTTCAGTTATTCTTGTCATTATTCCAATTTTCATTTCAGCCATGATTCATTTTCATAAGGACACAAAGCTTCAAATGAAAAAAAAAAACACGGACTATCCATCATAATACCCTTCCAACATCCCGTTAATCGCTGTTGTACAATATTTTAGTGACCCATGCAACCCCTTTTATTGCACATATCTACCTATTTTGCAATTCTAGAACAAAAAAAAAAAAAACTCCCTGTACCTAGCGCCGGCATAAAGTTCTATCCTATAGGTGCTATAATGTCATAGAAATTGCGTTAACATCCCTCGTTCCATATATTCCCTATTTGGTTCATCTGGAATGGTCAAACCTTCTATGCGGGGAGGAAGCTGGAAAATGTATTCATTGGATCAACGTACTTTTATGCATCCATCCATCGGTGTATTATGTGATTTCAACCACGTGTTGTATGTTTTGTTTAACACTCCATTCAAAAGGGAAGTGTATTACTGTGGGCAAACACTTCCACCCACACCCACACATACACACACATATGTGACGATGACGGTGGATTTCCAGAGTATGGTCACGTTTGGAGTGTTCAGCTGGCCTGAATACCAGAACTGGACCCGATGTCAGCGTACGTACTTGACAACGATCAACGGCTTACGAATAGCATTTGTTTATCGTGTAGCATATTCTGTAATAATACAGAACCGAGGGGTTACTAGATCGATTGCGATGACTGGCTTGCTTGTTTAATATCAATTACGTGCATTGTTTAAGATAATTGTTGAGATCCTATTTTATTTTTAAATTTTGCAATCGTTTATCAGTTACAATAGGTCAATAATGTAATACCTAGTGATGGAAAGAATGATGCGTATAATTTATCTCTTTCTGGCCAAAACAACAGTTATAAGGCTTGAAATACTATTGTAATTTACATAGGAACAATTATCATATCCAGAACAACATGTGAAAAGGGCATACAAGCTTTTTGTAAACAAACCTTTGTAGGCCCTTTTCTCACCAACCGAGGGTCGCCCACGCAAACCAGCAATATCATCGGGAAGGGGAAAGTGTCCCCTACCCGGTAATGTTAAAGGTTTGCGTTGGTGTCATATGGGTGGCGAGAAAAAAGCATAAGAAGGTTTGTTTACAAAAAGCTTGTATGCCCTTTTCACATGTTGTTCTGGATATTGCTGTGTTGTGTAGGAATAAACCGGAATTGGTTAGTCCACATCGTGTTGTCTTGCTATGCGGATCTGTTTGCTTTTTGCTCAAGGAAGTGTTACTGCTACCTAGAGCTAGAACAAATTTAACCAGCACTTTTCAGTGCTCACTATTAACTGCAATTTTTTTACCTTTCATGACTCTTATTCCTCTTCGATCCTTGTTTTGACCCTACTTGAGGTAATTTTGCTTGGACATCGACTTGGAAAATTCCTCTTCGATTCTTCGGATTCATATAGTAATCTGCTTGGAAATCGATTTGGAGACAAAATTGACGAACATTTTACTCAGTTTAGAAGTAGTACCAATAGACTGAGTGAGTTAAATCTTGACTTACTTCATATTCGGGAAATTTTTCTTGAAAACTCTTTAATAATGTAGGGAAATTTAATCAGCGCTCAGTTTCTGCACTTTTTTTGATTTATGAATAAACTGAACTCAAATTTGGGTCGATCTCATTAGTCGTGTTGACTTTGATATTTACACTGGCGTGCGTGGTATATATATTAGGGTGGGTCACCGTTATATGGAAAAACGCAAACTTTACCTCATCCAACGAGAACAAACTTTTTTTTGGTTTCATTTGGAGTTCCAAAAAACTGTGCAAAATTTGGAGACGAATGGTTATAAAATCATGTAAATTTAGGTGCCCTGAGACTGACATATATGAGCGTCGATTTTAACATAAAATTGAGTCATAACAGACGCAACATTCAACTCAATCAAAGATCGTCGTCGAGTAACGAACTTTTAGGTCTCGGGGCACTTAATTTTACATGACATGTTTACGTTTACGTTTACGTTTTACGTTTACGTTTACGTTTCATCCTTTATTTCAAAGATGGATTCCGTTACGTGTAAAATTAGTTATTTCTAAGTGTGTGGGAAAACTTACTTTTTTACGTTTTCATCCCTAGAGACCCTACTTTACTAGCTTACTTATCCTGGTTCGACATCCCTCAGGATTGCACCTGCATAACAATTTTGCACCAATTCACTCGGACCGTGGCTGCTTGTCTCCAATTTCTTGACCGTCCCACACTTCCAAGATCCTGCTCCACTTGGTCTAATCACCTTGCACGCTGTGATCCTCTTCGTCTTGTATCGGCCGGATTCGAGGCAAACACCATTTTGCGGGATTTTTGTCCGGCATTCTTAAAACGTGTCCCACCCATCGTACCCGTCCAGCTTTCGCAACTTTCTGGATACAGGGTTCACCATAGAGTTGCGCCAGCTCGTGGTTCATCCTTCGCCTCCATACACCGTTCTCACATACCCCGCCAAAGATGGTCCTAAGCACTCGTCGTTTGAAAACACCCAGTGCTTGCAGGTCCTCCTCGAGCATCGTCCATTTCTCGTGCCCGTAGAGAACTACCGGTGTTATTAGCGTCTTGTACATGGTACATTTAGTACCCAGGTGAAGTTTACCCGACCTCAGGGTCTTGTTGAGTCCGTAGTAAGCACGACTTCCGGCAATAATACACCGACGAATTTCTCTGCTGTAGTTGTTATCCGACGTCACCAATGATCCGAGGTACACAAATTCATCCACCACCTCGAACTCATCCCCGTCGATTGTCACGCTTCTGCCTATGCGAGCCCTATCCCGCTCGGTTCCTCCACCTAACAGATACTTTGTCTTCGACGTATTCACCTTTAATCCAACCTTCTCTGCTTCACGTTTCAGCTTGGTGTACTGCTCCGCCACGGCCTGAAACGTTCTTCCGACAATGTACACGTCGTCAGCGAAGCAGATGAACTGGCTGGGCTTATTGAAGATCGTGCCTCGCATGTTAAAGCCCGCACGTTTCATAACACCTTCTAGCGCAATGTTGAACAGGAGGCAGGAAAGACTATCGCCTTGTCGAAGTCCTTTGCGAGTTTCAAACGAGTCCGATAACTCACCCGATATCTTCACGCAGCAC